ATAGCCCGAAAGATCGAGTGGCGCTGAGCATCATTGAAATGGTATATCAACCTTTTCGGTCAATATCTTGAATTCTAACGAGACTAGGCCGAAGAAAAAGGCTTACTGACACCACATTCCGGCGACACCATATATGAAGGTACAGTGGGAAGTACTGGTATATCACTTGCCGCGATATGCAGAGCGAGAGGATACAAGGCGCACATGTGAGCTGTCCGTGTGACATGCGCGATCAATTTTTGACAACCAATAGCTGTATGCCAAACGATATGGCGATCGAAAAGTCAGATCTCCTCCTGAAGCTTGGCGCAGAGGTAGAACGAGTACGTCCTGCACCAATCGTAGACCAAAAACAGTTCGTCAATCTTGCTCGCACGAGAGCTGCCGAACACACCGCCAGCCCTGACAAGCCGGGACGTGGACTGTTCGCAGACCAATTTGAGACCGAAGCGAACTGGCGTGCGCACTTCACTGGAACCGGGCCTGAGATCTACGAGCAGACTGGTAGCTTCCTGGATGCATTTGTAAGCGGTGCAGGTACTGGCGGTACTATCTCAGGCGTTGCTATGTATCTGAAGTCAAAATTGCCAAACGTCAAAGTTGTGCTCGCTGATCCTCCCGGGAGTGGTCTTTTCAATCGCATCAAGTATGGTGTAATGTTTGACCCAAAAGAAAGAGAAGGAACACGAAGGCGACATCAGGTCGACACCATCGTTGAAGGAATCGGTATCAACCGAGTGACGCACAATTTTGATGTGGGCCGGGAGCTCATTGACGATGCGATTAGGGTCAGTGATGATCAAGCGATCGCTATGGCACGTTGGCTGGTGGAACACGATGGAATATTCGTTGGCAGTTCTAGTGCTGTGAATTGTGAGTTTTGAAGGTTTCTCTACACTACAGCGCTGACTTGTAACAGGTGTGGCTGCTACGAAATTAGCAAAGACACTTGGCCCTGGGCATCGCATCGTCACAATACTATGTGATAGGTAAGACTACAAGAATACACTTGAGGAACGTAACTAATTGGTTGAAAGCGGCGCAAGACATTTGAGCAAGTTCTGGAAGAGCACTGGGCCTGTTGGCGGCGCAGAGAATGATGTGTCTCTCCAGGCCATTCTTGACGCCTGAGACATATCTAGTCGTCACTAGTGATTGATAATCTCTGCAAGACCAAAATCTAAACTCTCGGGACGCCCGCCCGCCACAGCCACAACTGGTACCAGATCTCGATGACACTGTCATTTCGGTGTACTGAAACAGATCATGGCCAGCCACACGAAGGCCGTGAAGGTTTGCCAACACCCCACAATGTCACCCTGAGCATGCCACCACCCACTGCGACAGGACTGACGGACATCAGGGTTTACTGCGGCGTGTCCATAGAAGAAGTGACATTGTGCAGAAAATCCTACGAGCAACGAGAACACAATGACCACAGGATGAAGAGAGACAAAGATCTGCCCTTCACAGTCATCACCACAGCAATGTCTTAAGCTGCGTAACAAAGAGCAAAGCTTCAACAATACCATTCTGTTCTGACACAGGCTTTGTGCGTTTGTGCACCCTTTATAACATTCCCACGACCTCAACCCTGCACTTTGCTGCACACTCCCGGGCTTACTCAACCACAAAATTCCTCGCTTGCCGCAGCAAACGCTTCGTCAACTTTCCCCAGCAAACCCTCCTTGGCCCGCGCACAGAGAGCTACTCCAGAGACAGGTCAAATCCGTACATTAATGCATACCCCACGCATGAGCGACACGAACGGAATCAGCAAGAAAGCAAACAAAAGATCCCCACAACCCCAAACTCATCTGCTCAACCGCAGACTAGCCAAAATGGCGCCCAGCACACGCAACCCGGCGCTCGCATCAAAAATTGAGCAGATGCGCCTCGCCATTGCCCCAATCGTGCACATCGAGACCGGCAAACCTGCTCCAGACTTTCCTCACACAATGCTCGATCTATTCCTCCTCACTGAGGATCAACTCGATGCGCTAGCACAGTACTACAGTCAAACTAGCCCAACGGCACTGACGCATCAATACCCGCAAACCATGAGTTGGGAACTCCCGTTTCTGAACAAGGATCCGAATCTGCCGGAGGGTTGTAAGTTGAGTGAGTTGGAGAGGCTCAAGGTCAAGATGAGGATGTTTGCACGATTCATTGGGATGAGGGGGGCGGATACGCCGAGGTGGGAGTATGAGCGTCAAGTTGAGATCCTGCAGCACAAGATTAAGAGGAGTGTGCAAGAGGAGGAGATTAGTCCGGGGAAATATTATTGGGGGCCGAGTACGAGGCCGTAGATGTATGGCGTTGGAGTGTATGTTCACAGCAACACTGTAGAGCTCCTGGGTTGGTTTTGGGGTGTAAGCTCTCGTACTCTTAAGATACCTAGATATCCGTCAACTATTTACACGCAACCTAGAGCCTGCTTTAGGATACCTTATATTTAATGCAGATCTTTTTGTAAGCTACACAGCTAGCTTATAGTAGATTAAGAGATCTACAAGTAGTTTGTAATAGTCCTAAATAGTATTCTAGTAATTTAAGGAGGCATTCATGCAAGCTGCCTAAGATTTCTAGATTTCACGAGTGTACGAGAGGTAGAATATGAATTGGAGTTAATCTCGGTCTTGAAAAGTGCATTTGATGTTGTACAGTTAATGTCAAATGTTTTAACATGTAAAGTAGTATTAGTGCGTGTAGCCTTTGACTTCACAAAAGCAAGTTAGATGGATCACACTACTTGGCCATCGTGCAGTGAACGTTCCACTTCAACGACTAGATAAACAACCACATTAAAGCTCTTGCGCACCTAATATCAGGACCTCAAACTTTCAGAAATAATACTCAATATCAGCACGTACAAAGAAAGAAGACCAGAAAAAAAAATACCAAATCAGTCAATCAGTCGCAAACAAAGTGCAGTGCGAGAGAAGTGCAAAAAAGTAGAGCTGGAAAGGCAGATCTAGTGCTTGTGGGGTCTATCTAAACTACTGTTAGTTGCACGAGTTAAAAAGAATTATGAGTATAAACTACAAAGTACTGTACCCAGGTATGCTTCCGCGTTATTTTGCGCCGAGACAGCTTCTTAAAATACGACCGAGGATGTTTGTAATGTAGAAAGGTGCAAAGATATAAGGTTTCAAAATATAAAAAGATGGTATTGAGGATTCTAGGTAGTAGTCTCTAGGAACGGAGGCCTTAGCGTGCAAGGCTTCACTTTAAGTTTTAACAATAGGCACAACCTCTAGACTGTGTGGGACGGACCTAATTGCTCTATATTAATATAATAACCATCGAATCGCTGCAGAGGACTCTCTAGCGACCCCTTGGCCGCGCCTGTGCGAACGTTTGTCACTCCTAGGCTCTCTGTATGCGCATTCCTAGCGCGTGACTGCTAGACTAATACTGCTTAGATTTGGCGTTGGGTTTTATGTTCATGGCAATGGAGTAAAACTTTTGAATTGGGTTTGGCGAGCATAGCGGTGTTAGGGTGTAGCCTCTCGTACTCTTAAGATACCTAGATATCCATCAACTACTTACACGAACCTAGAGCCTGCTTTAGGATACCTTATGTTTAATGCAAACCTTTTTATAAGCTGCATACTTAGCTTATAGTAGGTAAAGAGGTCTACAATAGCTTGCAGTAGTCCTAATAATATCTAATTAGAAAATATTAACAAAATTAAAGGACATTTAACCTATTGCGTAGATAGATATTGACTATACAGATTCAAATTCAAGGAACACACAAACTCGAACCAATGCAACTCATTGCTTATTTGGACATTGAATGGAAAGATTCGGATTCAAGGCCAATAAGTGGGCACCTACTTCCGCAGAAACGGATGAGATGGTTGCTTAAGGAGTGATGTACCTGGTCGGGACACGCTATACGCAACTGTTTTCGAAGTACGATTAGATGGCAAGCCACATGCAGGTCATACATGCGAGGACCGAAGATCCCCGTTTTCGTCAATTCGGAGATAGCAGACAGTTGGGCATTCCGTATCGAGTGGGAAGACCCGAACGGTGTACTTCGCGGTCGATACATTCAGCCTACCAAAACTCACTTCAAGTATAATGGCCAGACGCTGCCCGCGGTCAGTCTGAGCACTATCTCAGATGCATCTCCCTACTTCACCACCTCTTCAATGCCCCTTACCAGGATCTACGCTCTGCGTATTTCTATATGGGACCCCCGAACGTCCTATAGGCATACTACGACTACTTCCTGCAGGAGATCTCATTCGGACCCCAGACGCCGTACCCCAATACGATCGATTATTCACGCGTGTCTGATGCAAGACAGACTCGAATGATGACTGACTACGGCCTGCACAACGTCAACATACCTTGGGGTAGTAGGCCGAAGGGAAAGCGATCGGTGCCGCAGAAATGCGACTCTTGCGTGCTGGAGGCCGAGAAGAATGTGAAGAGACACATGTCGTGCGAACAGAAAGGAGGTGTCCTTACCAACGTCTGTGTCCATTGCTATGATGACTTTAGCAGGGTTGCATGTTCTTTCACGCCCAACCAGAGGCGGAGGATCACGAGGACGAAGCTTTCAAGGCTAGATATCGACCACTTCTTCATCTTGCCGAGCGCGATACGGGCTCCATGGATACCATCGATCCAGAACTACAGGTTATCCCATCGATGGAGAGCGACGAGGTTCCCGACGGCGAGTTGGACGTGTAACGCTCCGCAGGGAGGGCCTCAAAGGTCCGCTATAGAAAAACGGTATGTGGGGTAGGAGTACACATAGTCTCGGCGGGCGCTGATGCAGGAGTAAAGCCTGTATACTAGATCAAGCTGTATTGCGGGGAGTGTGGGTGAAATTCAAATCAAAAACTCAGATGCTGTCAATAGTGCATTCAGTCACATACCTATGGTACACTACTAATGTATGTAATGTAGAAAGATGCAAGAACATTGAAACATTCTCTGTCCGTCTACTAATGTGCAAAAAATACAAAAAACACAAAAAATAGTCCTGGTGGGGGTCGAACCCACGACATCCGCATCACTCAAATTAACTAGAGCCATAAAAGTCACGTGACATTTATAAGAACGGCGCGCTACCACTGCGCCACAGGACTTTTAAAATCCCTTGGACTATTATTTTGAATGTTTTAAAATTTGGCAAATCCATATATTGAGCGTTTGAAGTAACGGGTGGACAAAGTGGCAGAACGGGTTCAACGAGGAGTCACGTGTGTCACGAACAAAGCAACCTTAGGAGGCATTTTAGAGGGGGCTGAGAGCGAATATGCGGGGACGGATTACACGTGGTGGGGCGCTAAGGCAGGGGGGCTAGCGTGAGGGGTGTGTGCTCACCACGTCGCCTCTCGTGCACTCGAGATGCCCAGAGATCTGACAGCTACTCGCACGCAACCTAGAGTCTGCTTGAAAAACTATATGTTTTATACAGAAAATCAATTCAGCTGTATAGTTAGCGTATAGTAGGATAAAAAGTCCGCAATGACTATCAGGGCCACTAAGTTCGAGCCCAAGGTGCTTCTCGAAGCCCCGCGTCGTTCAGAGGGCACTCCAAATTCCAACGCATCGAAAGTCCTGTACAGCGTCTCTACTTACAGCTTCGCCGAACATGCCAAGAAGTCAGAGATACGAATACTCGATGTCGAAACTCAACAGACTAGCCTTGTCACCGATGACAAGGCAGCGGGTGAAGTTAATTGGTTGGGTGATGATAGGATCGTTCTCTTGAAGTCAAATGAGGATGGGACCACCAGCGTGGTCGTAGGTGACGCGAGCAGTTTCGAGATCAGGTACGTTTTCTCTTAGTTTTTGACTCAGACATCATAGCAGCACAATTATATTCTATGCTCACAATACCTTGAGAGGCTTACAAGGCCACTCAACTATTGTAATATCTGATGCTCTGAGTTGACCCTGAAGTATCCTGCTGTATTTCCTTATTTCATTCAGCTTGCGTTGATGCGCTGTGATGACTACATCTTAGTTGCTGTAGTGCATGCGTCGAAAATACTTGCTCCTTCATACTGACACTGCTATAGCAAGCACGTTGCCGGCACTATCGACGGACCTGTAGGCAACCTCAAGATCTTTGCCCTCAGCCACAGCGAATACGCTTTCGTTGTTTCCGGTAAAGCCAAATCTGACGGTACGCTGTTTAACCCAACAAAAGCCGAGAAGCCTCAGTCCACAGGAAAGCTCTACAAGTCGGGCTTTGTACGACACTGGGATCACTTTGTCACTGAAAACCGCAACGCGCTCTGGTTGGGCAAGATATCTGAGAAGAAAGGCGAATTTCAGCTTTCTGGATTAACGAATGCACTCAAGGGCTCAGGTCTGGAGACCCCAATCGAACCTTTTGGCGGCAAAGATCACTTTGACGTATCAAAGTATGGACTTGTATTCACTTCTAAGGATCCGAATCTTAACCCTGCTACACATACCAGAACGAACATATATGTTGCAGCATCCGAAAACTTCTGGGATGAGCTAGGCAAGAGAGACTTGAAGATCGAGAAGGTTACCATTGCGGGCTTCGAAGGCGCGAGTACGAGTCCGACTTGGTCAAATTCAGGAAAGATGATCGCTTTCCTTTCCATGAAGACTGACGGGTACGAGTCGGATAAGAACCAAGCATTCATCATGCATGATTGGCAAAACCCCTCACAGTTGATCCCTCTGTACGCCTCTGAAGACGGCAAGGGGACATGGGACCGAAGTCCTCAGTCGATCGCATGGAGTCCAGATGACTGGAACCTCTACTTTACTGCAGAAGAACACGGACGTGGAAACCTCTACTCCGCTGGGCCTCCGAAACCTGGTGACGACAAGGAGAAGCTACCTTCGTTGCTTGTGAAAGGTGGAACCATCACCGCCGCGCAAGTGCTCAAGAACGGCGACGTCTTCCTCACATCTACGAGTCTGATCGAAAATAGTCTTTACTCTCTTGTTCCTCTTCGCGAGCGGTCTAGTGCCACAGATACGTACATCCTACCAATCGATGACCGTCCTTACGATTCGAAGCTTGATAGCCTGACAACAAAGTACATCTCCTCCAACACCCGATCTGGCTCCATGTTTGGTCTCTCACGCGACCAAATCGACGAGATCCATTGGCCTGGAGCAGCAAAAGACACTTCGGTACACGCCTGGGTAGTCAAGCCTAGCCACTTCTCCTCCGATAAGACATACCCGCTCGCCTATCTTATTCATGGAGGTCCTCAAGGTGCCTGGACCGATGGCTGGAGCACACGTTGGAACCCTGCAGTTTTTGCAGAACAAGGCTATGTTGTCATCTGTCCCAACCCTACAGGAAGTACGAGTTACGGTCAGGATTTCGTCGATGCTATCCAGGGCCAGTGGGGTGGTCTCCCGTACGAAGACTTAGTGCTGGGGTTTGATTATATCAAGAAAAATGTCGCATATGTCGACACCAAGCTTGCTGTCGCACTCGGCGCATCGTATGGTGGCTACATGATGAACTGGATCCAAGGTCATCCTCTTGGTCGCAAGTTCAAAGCACTCGTAACACATGATGGTGTTTTCAGCATGACGGGCCAAATGGCCTCTGAGGAACTCTACTTCCCCTTCCATGACCTGAAGGGCAAACTGTGGGAGAACCCCGAGGGCTGGGAAAGGTGGGATCCGTCGCGATTCGTTCAGCATTGGGACACACCGCATCTCGTAATCCATAGCGAGTTGGACTATAGGCTAACAATCAGTGAGGGCCTGGCTGCTTTCAATGTGTTGCAGGCCAGAGGTGTGGAGAGTCAGTTCTTGACATTTCCAGACGAAAACCATTGGGTGTTGAAACCGGAGAATGGTCTGATGTGGCATGAAGTTGTCTTGGATTGGATCAATGAGCATGTAGGATTAGAGAAGTATACTGATAGTAGGAAGATGTTGAAGAGTGAGTAAACTTTATATACGAAGATGATGAGATATGTAAAATGAAACATGGCTTCTTCTGGCAACAGGCGGAGAGCATATTCCAGTGTCAAATTCAATTGGTCACGACTGTTGGTCCTACACAATAGCATAGTTGATGTACCGAGGCGGAGAGGCTGGCTCTCGTACACTCATAAAAACCGAAAAACCCAGGCAGTATTGATACCTCCTATTTAAGCACTACTGCAAGCTACTTGTACCCTTCTTAACCTACTATAAGCTGGCTACACAGCTTAAGAAGAGGGGTGTATCAAATATAGAGCCTCCTAAGCAAATTCTAGGTTGCATGCAAGTAGCTGACAGACATCTGGGTATCTTGATGGTACGAGAGACTGGCGGCGAGTCGGGGATGTTTCTTATCGATAAGCCAAAATAATTCTTCGGGCAGCTTAGCACGACCGAGACCGTCACAACCACGCGTCGTACAAAGCACTAGGACTGAGGTCTCCGTTATTGCAACCTTTCAAATCCATTCGGAATATCTCTGCGACTCATACCAGCCAGGTGTTGCATTTGCGCCTTCACATTAGAGTCCAATAGCGGAGAAGAGGTGGGGACGCATACGAAGCTGTCCAAGATGCCTAAGAAAGCAATGTAGGACACTCGCGCAGCAACATCGAAAGCCTGCACACTTACAACCCTCCAGTGACTCTCGTATACCGGCATTGATCCGAAATGGTGCTCAGGTATGCCCGCATATATTCTCAGCTTGCGCAATGTTGGCTTACATGTCGTAGGAGAAGAAACGAAGCTTCTTCGTGGTCGTCGGCGATCGCCAGAAGGACGTCATTGTCAATCTCTACCACATTCTACTCAATGTAGACGTCAAGCTCAACAAGTCGGTGCTATGGGCGTACAAGAACAAGTTGTTGGGCTTCTCGAGGTGCGCAAGGAATTTTGCGGAAATGGCTGGCAGAGCTAACAGAACTTTTGCAGTCACCGAAAGAAGCGCGAAAAGAAGATCAAGAACGAGATCAAGCGTGGCATCCGCGATGTCGATACAGAGGACCCCTTTGAGCTGTTCGTCTCGACGCAGAACATCCGATATGTCTACTACAAGGAAACGGACAAGATTCTGGGCAACACATACGGCATGTGTATTCTCCAGGACTTCGAGGCGCTCACACCGAACTTACTCGCGCGAACGATAGAAACGGTAGAGGGTGGAGGACTGGTGATCCTACTGCTGAAGGGCATGAGCAGTTTGAAACAGCTATACACACTTTCAATGGACATACACTCGAGATATCGGACTGAAGCGCACAGCGACGTAGTGGCGCGCTTCAACGAGCGGTTCATCCTGTCTTTGGGGAAGTGCGACAGCTGTTTAGTTGTGGACGACGAGCTCAACGTGCTCCCTATCTCTGGCGGAAAACATGTCAAGCAACTTGCACCACCCGACCCAGAACTAGAAGGAAAGACACCAAAGGCAAAAGAGCTGGCACAGATCAAGGAATCATTGGCAGACTCACCGCCCGTTGGCGACCTCGTCAAACTCGCGAAGACAGTGGACCAGGCGAAGGCGCTGTTGACGTTCGTGGACGCTATCGTAGAAAAGACGCTACGGAGTACGGTAGCTCTGACCGCAGCTCGTGGACGAGGAAAATCCGCGGCTCTGGGTGTAGCAGTGGCAGCGGCTGTTGCGCACGGCTACAGCAACATCTTCATCACGTCTCCCAGCCCAGAGAACCTAAAGACTCTCTTCGAATTCATCCTGAAAGGCTTCGACGCGCTAGGATATGTGGACCACCAAGATTACAGCATCATGCAATCGACGCAACCCGATCAGAACAAAGTCATTGTACGAATTGATCTGCATCGCCAGCACCGACAGATTATCCAGTACATGAAGCCTGAGGATTCGCATATCTTAGGACAAGCGGAGCTCTTGGTCATTGATGAGGCTGCGGCGATCCCTCTACCACTTGTGCGGAAACTCATGGGACCGTATTTGGTATTCATGGCATCCACCATCAATGGTTATGAAGGCACTGGACGGTCGCTTTCTTTGAAACTCATTCAGCAACTCCGTGAGCAATCTCGTGGCAAGTCCGCCAATGGATCCACACAAGTCGTAGACCGCTCAACCGGAAAGGAGACAAGGGACGGGAACGAAACTTCCATGACCGGCCGCTCACTACGTGAGATCACACTT